ACTCTTGTCAATTCATCTGCTGCTCCCCACCCCATTCCTTTCACTCACTTTCACTTTAGTGATAATAGAAACTGACAGAATGTCACCTTTCTTGAAGGTAATCAGTAATGTTTATCAAATTAAAATGTGAATACCCTGACCGAGTAATTCCAACCTATAGAATTATTCTTTGGACCTAGTAGGACATGCCAGGATACATGTGCAAGGACCTTGTTTATCGTATTAAAAACAAAAACTGGAAACAAACTAAGTGTCCTTCAAGTGGGACTATTGGCCAAATTTTGGCACAGCCAGAAAATACAATATTTGTTATTAAAAGGATGAGATAGATCTGTATGGATTAATATAGAGTTCCCTATGCTCACAATATATTTTAAAAGCTAGGAGAGTATGAATAGTACCATTCCATTTATATTTATATATATATAATATATATATATATTTTTAAAAGCCCATAGACATACACACACATCCCCAGAGACTTCTGGAAATTTAAATCAGGGGAGGCCGAAAACAACAGAAAAAGCTAGCACAGCCCTCCCTGAGGTAGACCTAGAGATTATTTAAGAATGACTTGATTTAGACCAGTGGTTCTCAAAGTGTGGCCCCTGGACCAGTAGCACCAACACCACCTGGGAACTGCTTAGAACGAAATTCTCAGGTCCCACCCCAGACCAACTGCAGCAGGAATTCAGCATCTGGGGTCCTCCAGGAGACTGAGATGCACAAAAGCTTGAGAATACCCCCACTTGGACATCTGAAAGTAGTCAATGAGCTAATGGATCATTTGTCACTTTGGGGTGACTGTGCCATAAAGACTCCAGTGTCTAGGGTAAGGTTTCTCTGGAAGAGAATGGAGGAAGTCTGAGATTAGAGAGAGGAAAAAGGAAATATCTCCAAGACTGGGATTCAACTCTAGACATCGTTATGGAGTAGGCAGAATGAAGGCACAGTCTGGGCAAGTAGGGGGGTCAAAGGACAATGGGCCTCAGTTGCACATTCTCATAGTTGCTGAGTTTTACTTTCTCATTCCCCTCATCCTCAGAGCTCCAGAAAAGTCTCCTGGAAAGTGACTCTGTGGGATACCATGGCAGGTCCCAGAAGAAGGGAGTAGAAGGGAAAGCAGTGTCCATCCCCACTCAGGCCAGAAAGGTGGGAGCAGCCACTGCAGGGTTAGCAGGGAGCTGTACTCAGAGCCAAGGACAGCCTCACAGATGTCACCAATAAAAATGGCGCAGTGAGGTGGCCAGGGAGAGAGCCAGAGTCGAAGAACCCTGAACATGCTTGAGCCGGTGCCCTGGGAGAGGCTCAGAAAATGCTGGAGGACAGACACTTGGCAGGTGCAGGGAAGAAAGGGAGGGAATTCTAGAGCTAAGTAGGAGTGAGTCTATGTTGTCGTAACCTGGAATTTAGCAAGAAAGGTGGACAGGTCTGGAAAGTGGGATCTGACAGAAACAATGTCTGTTAGGACTTCCCTTCCAAGCACGTACCACAATTTTATTTTACATTTATTTGTGTGATCATTTAATTCTCTTCCTTTCCCTCTGAACTGTAAGCCTCATGAGGCTGGACACTGGATGTTTTCACTCACCACTATGTCCCCAGTTCCTGGCTGGCGCGTAGTATTTACTCACAAAACAGGTTGGATAAATAAACAATTTAAGTTAAAATGCTCTAAAACATTCGGTTATTCTTTCTTTGTGTTGTTGACTTTTTGTTTTGTTAGTTTTTTGCCCAAACAGCATATTGTCATATGAAAGTATATGACCAAAATGCATATTATCAAAGGAGGCTATTTCTGTTACAGAGAGAGTTGCGTCATGAATAAGGTGTGGAGGCTTTAGTCTCTGAGTTGTAAGAACTTGTTTAGAAAGCAAAAGGCTATAAAAGTTAGGATGTATTAAGATGTATTTCACCAAAAATACATAAAAATACACCCACACTGGCTGTCAGTAATGGCCGGCCTGATGAAGTCAAAGATTAATTCTGCCCCAAAGAGTTTTAGCATGAAGTGCTTCCAGGGCATTATGATGCGCTGAAAACTGACCGTCCGCATATGACAAAGCAGCAGGTACTACCTTTGGCAACTGCCAGGCGCCCACAATGCAGAGTCAGTGGGCGGGTGCGGTGATGTCACAAGGACACTCGTGACCCACCTGCCTTCTGATGACAAGGAGGATCATCACCAGTCACTCTGCGATCTGAGAGTGTGGCAGTGGAACAGAAAGGGCAGGCTACTTCACAGAGGACTGCAGAAATATGGACAATAGATTGAGAAGTTTAGCAAATAATGCCCAGCCCCTTACCCTAAGAAGCTTCCCCTGACCTGGAGAGAAAAGTTACAAAATTAAATTTTTATAAACACACACGTGGCATCTTTGGCTTCAAAGAAGCCACAAGGCATGCGGCCGTGCCACCCAGGGTCAGCAGTCCATCTGTGCCAAGCTCTCGGGGCTGCGTGGTCACAGTACGGACCACACTCTGAGCACAGGAGGGATTAATCCTGCCGCAGATGTGACAGGCGGAGGGGGGTCTCACCACAATCCCGGGCAGGCTCCCTTGGGCCCTGCAGTTGGGTCTAAGCGTCTTGGAAGCCCGCCACCATAAAATGCCTTACATTTCGGTTTGGAGGTTGACGTTCTATGAAACTCTCGATAAAAGGAATAGGAAGTGACTCTCTTCCCCCCGCCCCCTGCCCATTCCCCTTGAACTCAGAGTCAGACCTCTAGGGAACCAGATCCTATCTAAGAACAACCCAGCGGTCAGTACGAAGAGACGTCTCCCACCCCTCTCCCTGAAAGGGCTTTCAGAGCGAGCTCGGACACTCTCCATCTCTGCGTGAGGGGGCTGGGTAATTGCCGAGCTGACCCTCGGGAGCCTCTTGCCCTGCTCACCTTTCACTATAATGCGTGGTACAGCATAATCATGAAATGTGCTTATTAATTTTACTCATTTGACACTGCGCTCTTCTGCCCTGAGCTAGATGTTAGGAGAAAATGATAGGGATAGATTCTGCTCCTGTCAGACTTACCAAGACTTTCAGAAAACCAGACTATCAAAGGCCATCTGCCACCCACTAGCCAAGCTTTCAGGACGACCTCAAAGGTACAAGCAGGATGTTAAAGACACAGATCAACAAAGGAGAACAGCAAGAAGATGTGGAGACCCGTGCCCTGGGCGTGAGCCCCCCGCACGAACCCTCCCGGGAGAGCAACCCCTAAACCAGTCCTCCCGGAGATCGCGGGCGCTGGGCCCCTGCCCTGATTCATGACTGGCTGCTTCATATCTAATTCATCAAAAGACACTTTGGCTTCTCAAATCAGGAACATTTTTATTAGCTTCCCCAAGAGTTTTATGGCACAAAGCCATATCTAATGATTCTATTTTATGGCAAGTTATACATTCAAACAGTGCTTTGAAGTCAGACAGCAGGTAAGACTCAAATCTTTGTCAAAAAAGATTCCCTTGTCCTTTCACTTTTAAAATGTTTATAAGCTTTCAAACAGTTGGGAAAGTGATGTGGAGCATTTTAACAGGCTTCTCCTTCCCTGCACAGGACCCGGCGCAGGCCGAGCCAATGGGTACCAAAGAGTTCTCAATGGGGCTTGCTTTTGCCCCTCTGTCCCCTCCGCCTTGGGACATCTGGCAACGTCTGCCCACATTTTGGGTTGTCACGGTTGGGGGAGGGGAGGTTAATGCTACTAGGATCTAGTAGGTAGAGGCCAGGGATGCTGCTAAGCGTTCTACGTGTGTGGCACAGGACAGCCCCCAACACAGGATTATCTGATTAACTGGCCCAAAATGTCACGAGTGTCAACGTTGAGGAACCAGGCCTTAGGGCTACTTCTGGACCAGGCGCTGGATCCCTCCCACCCCTGGGACATCAGATGCTAATCTAGTCATGGTGGCAGGTTTTCAGTGCTGGCTAATGAGCCTCGTATTCTTTTAATTCTTACACATTCTTTTTTTTTTTTTTTGAAGATTTTTTATTTATTTGACAGAGATCACAAGTAGGCAGAGAGAGAGAGAGGAAGAAGCAGGCTCCCCGCAGAGCAGAGAGCCCGATGTGGGACTCGATCCCAGGACCCTGGGATCATGACCTGAGCCGAAGGCAGAGGCTTTAACCCACTGAGCCACCCAGGCGCCCCAATTCTTACACATTCTTGATGCACATTTTCAACAAACAAGAATAAAACGCTGTCTCAAACAAAATGAGGACAGTGAAAATAAGACCAGCTTAGAATCTCAGGACATGGGACCACAGTCACTGCTAACACAACCCTCCTAATGTTACGCTGCACCTTTGACCCAAATCCCAATTTATCTATTGAAACAACAAAATAACAATTCCAGCCGTCAGTGCTACAGAACAGGACCACAGAAGTCTGCTGAAGAGCAAAGCCAGCGCTCTGCTAACCTGTGCAGGTGTGATCAGTCAGAGCGGCAGACCTAGAAGGGGGCCGGTCCTGATTCACCACTCCCAAGGACTGGGCCTCCGTCACTTCGCCTGTCAGAACGTGGATTCTCTTAATCAGTAAAGTGGAGATAAAGCTACTTGTCTTCCTACCCTTCCAGGGAACCATGAAAGCCAAATGAGTTCACAGGTAGGAAACTGCTCTGCAAACTGTAAAGAGCTATAGAAATGTATGGTGACACACCAGTGATACTTACACACGCAGGAAAACCTATGCCAAGGATCTTTCAGACTTTTGGATCCTGTTCACGAAATCTCACAACTAGAAGTGATTTTAGAAATCAACAGAGCCGTTTAGATTTACAGAAGGTGAAAACAGCCATCACAGAGGTCAAGGCCAGGTAATAGCCCAGGTGGACCCGGTCCTCTGACTCCCAACCCAGGACGCTCCCCACACCTTCCCACTGGTGACGCTTTCCCTCCCTGTTCAAGTTCCCGGAGGGAAGGAGCACATTTACACACAAGGCTTGGGGGGTTCCTGAGCACAGGGGATAAACGTTGGTTGAATCAGTGGATCTGGACTTACTACATCATAGCCTGTTGGGGCTCGGTTCCGAGAAGCCACCACCCCCACTCCTGTGATGGGATCCATCGACATCTCTGGCAAAGCTTCTGAAAGGTCTTTGACTTCAGGCATGGTGGATTGGTCCTGGTTCCGAAAAGAAGAAAGACAGCACAAAATTCAAACTGACCATTTAAAGTGAACGATACAAAGTCTCAAACACATAGAACCAGAATCTTGGGGCAAATATCCTGAGCTTAGGTCCATGTACCTGAACTGGCTAAAGGAGCCCTGAGCTTTCCTGACCCTTTCCTCAGATCAAGAGCTCAAGTCGTCTCTGACCCCTGCTCTGTCATGTTGGCTCTGAACACTGGGCTAACGTAGTTAATGGGGGCCTGTCCCTGCTCAGAGAGGTAACTTGGACTCAAACCCCAAAGCAAACCATTCTTAACTCTCTCAACAAGCTGCCTGACTTCTGAATAGATACCCGTAGCTTCTGGGGAGAAAGCAGACACAGCTGAACTAACACAACTGTACATTTCTCTCCCTTACAATATCTCGTGTGGAGGTGCAGACTTCCAAATCCATACCCTCTCGCACAACCAAGCATGGACTGTTCAGTAGGCAGAGCTTTGCAAACACGTGGAAGAAAAGTGTTCTGGGAATGGAGGCAAAGGAATGGCATTCAAGTCCGGGCTCCATGGCTTACTGGCTGGTGACTTTGAGCAAGCAAGAGGTCATGATGCTGACAGTAACAGAGCTGCCATGAGATCTAAGGGAGTCACATAAACGAAGGGCCTGGAGGAGTCCCTGGGCAGAGTAGGCACTCAACAAAAAGCAGATGAGACTGGCAGGTTTGGGGCACACAGGTTCAGCGCAAGTGGCCAGAAATGTGGTAGATGCCATTCCTGGGAGGACTGGCAGTTGCCTTTGTTGCGTTTAATCCCACAGGTCATGTGGGTACTTACTCAAAGCTAAACACTAACAATGACCATAATTCTTGCTGGGCACTTTGGGAGAAAGGGAGGGGAAAGGGAATTATTATTCTGCTGCTGACTGCCTCTTGATGTGACCAGAGGAGACAAGGAGAATATAGAGAACACTGGGTCTGGGCAGCTGGAGTGGCAGTGCACCAGAAAGCAAATAAAAGAGGTAACACCTTATGTAAATGACTTTTAGTACTTTTAAAAGGACAAGCAGCGAAAAAGAGCAAGTTAAATTCCACCTCCTTCTGCAGCAATTAAATTCCACTGGCTGTAGTTTCTACCAGATCTCTCGAACTGGTTACTGCTTCTAAAACAAACCAAACACCCTGCCTAACTAGGCAGGGAGAAGAAATATTCTTAGTTCTCAGCCTAGAATCAGAAAAGGCAGAGGCTCTTAAAAATGACTGCAGTCGGGACGCCTGGGTGGCTCAGTTGGTTAAGCAGCTGCCTTCGGCTCAGGTCATGATCCCAGCGTCCTGGGATCGAGTCCCACATCGGGCTCCTTGCTCGTCGGGGAGCCTGCTTCTCCCTCTGCCTCTGCCTGCCATTCTGTCTGCCTGTGCTCGCTCTCTCTCCCTCTCTCTCTCTGACAAATAAATAAATAAAATCTTAAAAAAAAAAAAAAAAATGACTGCAGTCTTCTAAATGGGAACAATCAGAATGCTATATGCAAGTCACCCTTGTAATCAGTGTCCCCTGAAGCCCACAAAAGGCTCCGGAAACGGACTCGTCAATGTAATTGAGCCAAGTTTCCAATCAAGCCCAGGAAGCCCCTGGCAGCAGCCACACTCTCAACTTCTGTTCATGACAAAAGCCAAACTAAGTTATGGTTTACTTAATCCTACTGAAAATGAGCTTCTGGAAGCCCAGGGCAGGGGGTGGGATACCATGCCACACCATGGCATCATTTTCTGTTTTTTCAAATTTCATTTACCAGGCAGGTTTATATAAAGCACCAGCATTGGTGATTCCTGCACAAAGTAGGCAGGAAGTAAGTATTTATTCAATGAATAGGCATGCATGCCCCCCAATAAAGAAGGGTTAGCATTAAATATCTCCATCGGCCCAGTCCAAAGCAAACACTAATCAAAAAGTATCGTCACTTGGAAAATCCCATAGTATTGGTAGCATGAAAATAAGACTGCTGCGATTTGAAAAATGGGTACCTGCTGCTATTGGTTACCAAAACGCTTTGCAATTAACAACTCATTAACAGAATGTACAAATTCTGCCAGTGCTAAAATATCATGCTGTGACTTTAACAAAGAACATCCGAGGGTTTTTTTTTAATTATTTTTTAAAATTTTTTAATTTTTTTATTAACATATAACATATTATTAGCCCCAGGGGTACAGGTCGGTGAATCGCCAGGTTTACACACTTCACAGCACTCACAATAGCACATACCCTCCCCAATGTCCATAACCCCACCACCCTATTATTATTATTATTATTATTATTATTAAGGTAGTACCGCCTCTACTATGTGAGAGAAAGAGAGAGAAGGCAAGCATGGGAATAAATAAGAACTATTTTATTTGCTGACAGATTCCCGTCCCCAGACCACGACGTCCTCGTGAGGCGCGGGTGACAGCGGCTCTCCCCTCCCGAAGCCGCTGGTCAAGGGCAGTGGAGGCCCTCGCTCCCAGGAACGCCGCCGCTCCCACAATGCACCGGGGAGGCAGCCCAGCCGCAGGTTCCAAGATGGCTGCCGGCTGCCTCCAGCTGAGGCAGACAAAGGAGCCGGCGGCCTGTGCCGATTCGTGCACGGTCCAGCCCAGCCTGCAGTCGGGAGGATGCGACAGCGGAGCATGAGCACAGAGCATCTTGGATGCACGCCTCCTTCTTCCCTTTCCCCCCAGCTGCTGTACCCTGGGGATCAAGGCAGCCTTTGTGAAATACAGACAAATGACTCCTCGCGGCGCGGGGCCGGGGCCGGCTCGGCGGTGGAGGAAGCCCCACCACCAGCAAAGGAAGCTTTTAATGAGAAACGCCCAAGATATCCATGGCAGAGGCAATCACTCAAAGCAGCTTGCCCTGAATTACATATTTTCTGACTGCAAATTACTTTTAACAGCGTCTCTACCGTCACTTCAATTGACCTTCCTAACAAAAGGCCATTTATTAACTAGCACTCCACGTTTCCCGGGCTGTGTGGAGCCTCGAGCCAGAAGGGATGGCACCGCCGAGTACTCAGCCGCCCAGGGTCACAGGCCAGGCCTCTGAGAGGGGAGAAGAGGCCATTAATGCAAGCCTGCAGAGCAGATCTGCTGGGGAGGGGGGCTGGGGGAGCGGGCTGTTTAAGACCAACATTAACCTGTCTGGCAAGAAGCAACGCTGGTCTAAAACATAAAACACCAAGGCCTCCTTGCAGCAAGCCCAGGCTGCATCCTCAGCAGCTCCGCGGCAGAGAGAGGGAGAGACCCACCTCTATCTCAAAATCCTAACTGCACACAGACACACTAACACACCTGGACTGCGTTTGCACAGTGCTTTGCAATTCTCAAAAAGCTTTCTCAGTCACTCTTCTTGACTGATGATCACACCAAACCTGGAAGGTAGCTGGGTCTTATTACCCCGATTTTGGAGGAAAAAAAAACTGAGGCCCAGAGTGGTCAGCCACGGGGCAACTGGCCACCGGACCTTTAGTCCTCCTTCCCAGGTCTGATCTGCTTTCCATGACTCTGTGCCTAGAAACCAACATCCCATCTGATACCCAACTGAGAAAGCAGTTTCAACACTAATTATATTTAAAAATGCCAGAGCTCTTCTTTCTCTAGCTATAGCCCAATCAGTGAAGCAAGGGGGAGAAAAGTACAGAAAGATAAAAGTAACATGGGATTAATTTTCCTCACACCTCAGTTTCAAGATTCAACATTTCCCTCATAAATAATTTACAACAATAAAAATGAGCTAAGGCCATGTTTGTGTAGGACGGAGGTAAATTTAGGCCTAATGAGGGAGATCCGAGCGCCGCACAGGAGGGAATAGGTTGATGTATAGCACTGTATACGCACAATCGACAGCTCACAGGGGCTCCATTACCAACTGGAAGTCGCGAGGCCCGCCAGGAGGAGGGGGGGCCAATTTAAGGAAACTTCTACCATCCCAGCTGTGGCTGCAAGGGAGTCTGCAAGAGTCTCCACAGGGAGAGCCAAAAGTTGACCAGGATTTTAGATGACAAGACAATGGGGGCTGAGATTTCTCAGAACTATAAAACTGAACCAACCTGAAATTAAGTCAGTTCTCAGGAAATGCCAGGTGAGGAATCAAGGTGGTGATGGCACCTGGGAGGCACGTCTGCTCGTGGGCACAGGGAGAGTGCAGTGGCAACAACGATCTTGAGCTGGTCCTCCTCATTTAACCTTGTAGGTTATCTGGCCCCAGTTGCCATCCCAATCTCTACCCTGGGTGCATGGCCAGGCTCCTCTATATCATTTCCGAGGCTGGGGGTTGCTATTCCTATGTCTGCCCCAAGAGGATTTCTCCACCAGGCAGGAGAGTATGTATGAATGTGCTGTGGTGTGTGTGTGTGTGTGTGTGTGTGTGTGTGTGTGTGTGTGTGTTGCATGTACATACTGGGACAACAAAGATTCAGTTAGAGTGAGGTATGTTTCCAGGCCAGGAGGATTTTTTCCATGTCATGCTTGATGAATACTACGCAACAAGGCCGGGGAGGAGAAAAACCGCCTCCTGCTTCTGCCTGTAGTGCCGCAAACAGGGCCTGGGGAAGGCCCCAGCGCCCAGCCCTGCAGCACCTTGGCAATGCTGTCATCCCAGGTTCACAGAGAAATGAACTTTAACTCTAAAGCCTCTCATACAGACAGCACACTGCTCCCTTGTAGCTGATCAAAGAATTACTACAACAGTGTGCTTAATCCCTAAAAGTCAGCAGTGCTGGGCTGAACTGATGCTGAATATTGTTTCAGAATCAAAGGCGTGCCTCCCGGCCCCAGTCTGGGAGAAAACTAAGCTACTGTATCACAGTTGAAAACTCAGGGGAACTTTGATATCATCTCTGTTTAATTTCCCCGGCCCTGTGAGCCTGGGGTTTATCTCGTTTTATCAACTCCTGTACTGAAATCAAAACCCAACTAACAGAGCTCAGACCTCTCTCCACCGAGGCCCTTCCAGCAGCAGGGTGGATCGGGGGGCAACAACTGCAGGGGGCAGGGGGCGTGCCATCAAAGGAGGCGCAGCAGGAACCGGACTCAGCCTCCCCACTGCAGTGAGGAAGGCTGGCTCAGAAGCAGCGCCAGGGCTGCCCACCAAGGGCTGAAGGCGTGACTCGCACACAACTTTTGAGAAGAGTAATTTCAAAGTATGGGGGGGTAGGTTAAATTGGGCTACTGTAATTGAAATGACAAAAACAGTGGATTAATTAAGTCCCTACAGAAGGATGAACTTGCAACCAGTTTGTTTGAAATCCAAAGTCAAGGGCACAAAAGACATAAACTGGTCTGCCCACATCCACCAACTTGTGGGGCTGGGGGAAAAGCAGTGGATAAATATTTCACTTGCCGTGGAAACCTGACCAATAGCAGGGGGTGGAGACTGAGAACGGGCTGTCCCCGCCATGAGAGCAGCTGCTGTACCCATCGTGGGGCAGCTCTTTGCCTGTCTCCCAGGGGCAGTGGTGGTCCGCAAGAACCCATGCCCCCTTTGGCCCCATGACTACTGTCACCTTTTTGCCTACAAATCTTTAGCAGGTATGGAAGGACACGGCCCCATTCCCACTGGAGGGAGGCCATGGCCAGGCTTCACCAACGTGCACCACCACACACACAAACACACAGACCGGGCTGCCTGTGTGCAGGTAAGGTGCAGAGACCTACCTCCTCGGGAGATGGCAGGCTGTGGCCTGAGTCCATGTAGCACCCAAGTGAGTGGCCAGCCGGCTCCTGGAGCTACTCACGGAGGACAGTGCCCAGGCAGAGAGGCGTCCGCTGTGGCACCTCAGAAACAGCATCCTGGGGCCTCCTGCAGTTGGTCTGGACCACTCTCCCAGTCAGAAGCCAAATGACTCTGACAAACACTGTTGAGTATGATCAGGTGGCCACAGACCAGAGGCTGCTGGGAAGGCTGCTGAGATATTAGGAAACTAAAGCAAATATTTTTCTAGCTCTCCTAGATCACAAAGAATTTTCCAGCTAGGGAACTAACAATGGCGAGCACTTCCTTTTCTCCAGTAAAGGCCTGTTACTTCTAATAAAAGAATCTGGTGTATAAACGCACCCATTCTATCTGACCGATGGAGAGATTTCTATTAACCGTTTGTATACCAAGCAGATTTTCCACAAATCATGTGATACAGGCCTAGAGTTCATGTTGCTGCCGCTCATATGGTGCAAGGCTAGATCCCAGAGTTCATTCTCCAAAAATAAATCCAGGATCAAGTTTTATGGCCCTGCGGTAGCCAAAGTCCTGCCCCTTACAGGCCAGACTCTCCACAGCCAGGGAACCTAGTGCTGGGGACTGGGGCGGGGGCGGGGAGGGGGCGATCTCCAGAACACTGTGCTCCCCACCCCTGCCTGCCCCCAAACACTGCCAAAGAGGGTCAGCCCTGCCCCTTCCCATCAAGTCTCGGTGCCATACTGTCCCTGGGAGAGAAGGAAGGAGAACCCCCACAGAAGGCAGGTGCTCTACAGATGGACCCCAAAGGACCCAGGAGACATGCTCTCTTGATGTTCAGTGACATAAGGTAAGTCACACCCTTACCTTGGTTTACAGAGTAAAAATGCCAATATGGTGCCTCAACACCACGCAAATGGGCCGTTGGGTGGGAAATCATCAGAACACCCGGCTCAGGTCAGCCAGGCGTCTCATCACCACCACCCTCCTCTCCAACTTTCATAGGGATCTTGAGAGTTTCTTTTCATATATTTTTGGCATCTAATTTTTCTACCTGTATGCCGATGGCTTCCAAAACCCCTCGACTGCCCTGACTTTTCTCCTGAGACTCAGAGGTGTACATCTAGTGTCCTGCTGGCTACTGCCAGCCTGTGTCCTGGCTGAACGTGTCCTCCTCCCTCTGAAGCATCTCCCACATTTCCAGTTCCTTGCAGGACAGCAACAAACCCACAAACATTTACAGGGAGCCTTTGTGGAAGCAGCAGGGAGACCTCGCGACGACGATGGACAATGCAACATCGGGGAGCAGGGACTCAAACACGAGCAAGTGTGAGGCACCTGCAAAGTGTGTTAAAGAGACTCTTGAACCCACTCCCAGAGACACTGATTCAGTAAGTGTAGGATGGGGCCCGAGAAGCTGCATTTCTAACAAGTTCCAGGTGACAGCCAAACAGCTGGTCCACAGTCTGAACTCGGAGTACAAGACAGCAGGTGCTCGTTAGATGTTTGATGAATGAATGAACAGAAACAAAAACCTGAGTGTAATTATCCATGGGGACTAGCCTCCGAATGAATCCTTTAGTCTCTCCCTCCCCAAACAGGTCAGCCCAGAGCACCCAGTTCCTCCCCTAAGACACCCACCCCACCATTCAAAATCCAGGTCACATTCTCCCCAAACCTTCCCTGACCGCCTAGCCACACAGCTGCTGTCACGGAGAAGCCCTGCGTGTCACCAAGGACGTGGTCTTAGCACATGTATGTGCACATACGTGTGTATACACACACAGAAACACACAGCCTTGCCTCTCAGAGGGTTAAAGCGCCCTTGCCCCAGGAGAACAGTGGTTGTTCAAAGGTATTATGTCCATCCAGTGCCTGGCCCACAGTGGGCACTCAATAAATGGATTATGGTGGGGGTGGGTAGATGGAAGGAAGGAAGGAGCAAGTTCCCATCATCCTTTCAAAACTGCCCCTCTTTCACTGGATTAGGAAGGGCACACAAAGTATCAAAGGCAATAGCAAGAACAGCCCTGTGGAACCCTTGCAATGACAGCACCAGGCTGGGCATCCATGAGCCCAGGGCAAACACCGCAATTCCAGGGACAGGCAGGCTGCAGAGGAGGGGAGGTAGGACCGCAGCACTCCAGCAGCTCCAGAAGTGATTATGACTTAGTCGAAGCAGTTGGGTGACAGCCTGGCAGAGGCCAGGGGGTCTCCAAGCTAGTTGCACAGAAGACTCCCCTAAGGAGTTGGTAAAAACCACCGCTGCCCATTCCAACCTCCCAGGTTGTGATTTAAGTGGTCTGGGCCTGGGCCGAGACCAGATAATGCATGGCCTAGGCCAAGTGCTACTGTGAGACAATGAAAAAGACATGCCACCCCCTGTGGTGCTCCTAGGCTGGGAAACATCCCAAAGAAAGGGGCTGCCCATGAGGGGACACTTCCTTCTGCCTGGTGAGTCAGGGAGATGGGAGGGAAGAGCAGGCGATCAGGCTGGCCTCCTGGAAAGACAGAGGGTGCTGAGTAGGGAAGGTACTGTAGGCAGGAGAGGCCAGATCAGCAACGGTGGGAATGAATGCAGACCCCTGTGGGAACTGTGGCAAGCAGATGGGCTCTGAAACGAGCTTATGAAATGCTTAAACAAACAAACAAAGAAAACAGTTAAAAACCTGTCTGCATTTCTCTGCTATTTCTAAGGTCTAAGCAATGACACAGAGCTTCAGGAAGGAAGGAAGATTCGCAAGTCTTTCGTTCATATTTCTTCTCCTGTAACTGAATGCTTCTCGAACCCTTGCCACTTCCTGCAGAAAGCCATGGGCCTTGGCATTAGCTCGGTGGGGGACTGGGAAGTGAAGCAGAGGAACGGACAGGGCGAGGTTCTGGAGTCAGATGGACCAGAGCCCGAATCCCAGCTCTTGCACTGTGTACAGTGGTATGACTGGGCTCAAGTTTTCATCCCCCTAAAACTGGAATAATAATAATATTTCCTCTACAGGGTGATATGGTGTAAAGAACTTGTAGAAGTTGTATCAAAAGAAACAACTGACAGAGCAAAATGGACCACCTATGAAATAGAAGAAAATACTTCCAAATCACATATCCGCTCAGGGGTTAAAATCCAAATCTATAAAGAACTCCTACAACTTAACAATAATAACAAAAAACAAACACTTGATTTAAAAACAAATGGGCAAAGGACTTGAGTAGACACTTCTCCAAAGATGATATACAAATGGCCAATAAGCATATGAAAAGATGTGCGGTCACTAGGGAAATGCAAACCAAAATCACAATGAGCTGTCATCTTGTACCCGTTGGGATGGCCACTATCAAAAGTCAAAAAATTAGTGTTGATGAGGATTGGAAAACTGGAACTCTGGTGTACTGTTTTTGGAAATGGAAAAGCAGCCACTGTGGAAAACAGTATAGGGATTTCTCAAAATATTAAAAATAGAATTACTATAGGGTCTGGCAATTCCACTTCTGGGTATGTACCCAAAAGAGTTGAAAACAGGGTCTTGAAAAAATATTTGTACCTCCGTGTTCACAATGACATTATTCACAAGAGCCAAAAGGTGGAAGTAACCCAACTGTCCAGAGATACGGGTAAGCAAAATGGGTATATACATGCAGTGAATATTATTTGGCTTAAAAAGGAAATTTTGGCACATACTATGACGTGAGTGAACCCTGAAGACATTACGTGGAGTGAAATAAGCCAGTCATAGAAAGACAGATACTATATAATTCCACATATGTGATGCCCCTAGATCAGTCAAATTCATAGAAACAGAAAGTAGCATGGTGGCTGCCAGAGCCTGGGGGAGGGGAAATGGAAGCTGTTTAATAAGTATAGTGTTTTGCAAGATGGGAAAGTTCCAGAGATTAGCTGCATGACAATGTGAATGTCCTTAATGCCACTGATTTGTACACTTGAAAATGATTAGGGTGGTACATTTTATGTGCTGTACGTTTTGCAATTTAAAAACGGCATCTACAAGTGTGGTTTTCGAGTTTCAGTCAGTAGAAGTACAATCCAAGATCCTTATTAAACACAGAGACTCTGGGGCCCCTTCCCCCAGATATTCTGATTGAAGGTCTGGGTGGGAGGTCCTGGAATCTGCATTTTCATAAACATCTCAGGGCTATTTAGCACACTAAGAATTCATGTATTTTGCTCTGGTTCTAAAGGGTCAAGGAATATTCTTCTGAATATTTTGCTTTGCTGATCAGTATCTGTTTAAAACACACACACACACACACACACACACACACAGACACGCTATGCCTCTGTGTGTGTGTGTGTGTGTGTGTGTGTGTGTGTGTGTGTGTCTAGAAAGATTTCCTGTTGATTCTAGCCACAGCCCAACAAGATGGTCCTCTGATTCTCAGGGAAGTAGCAGCTACAAAGCTTGAGTATGTGACCCCACAGCTCCAGGCCCATGGGCCTCTCACATTTCAGCCTGCACAAGCTCCACATCTCACCAGAAGTGTGTCAGGTAAACCAAACACGCGCCCACAGGATGTCCCCAACAAGGGAGGTAATGTCAAGTACAGCCTGCAGGGGCCCTGCCTCCCACAGAGCAGAGTGGAGGAGCGCTAACCCAGGCGACCCCACCACAAACAGTGCGGACGACGCAGGGAAACCACAATTCTCAAGGGCAGCGGCAAGCAGAAGGCCAAGGAGAGCCAGTGGGGCCAGTAAAACGCTGGCCAGGGAGGGGCTCAGAGAGAGCAACAGCAGCTCGACAGAGACAGCCCATTCAAGGACCCCAGGCCTCCCCTCCCACAACCCAACCAGCAAAGGAAACTCTGCTCATTCAACCGCAACCAACTAAATACAGTGTTCTCGGCCCACCACACCAGCCATGTAGTCATTTGTTATCTTCATCATCATAATAGCACCTTTGACATTTCCCATGCTTGGCTCCAACTCCATCATGACTTTCCTGTGTGGCAAAGGACATCGCTCTTTGAGTGTGAAGCAGGGAGCACTTCTGACCTGCTAAGGCAGAGGGGCCCATGACTTTTGGATTCAGACTCCCCCAGAAGCAGATGTGCCATGAAACTAATAGCAAGGAACCTTTGGTCACTCTCCACCCCTCACCCCTTCCAAGGTCCCAAGAGGGAGGACCCAGCAATGTGTTCACAGGGTTGAGTAGTTTTGTAAAGTGTACAAAAGCAAGACATTCTTGTTTTCTTTTTCTTCTAACCCCTCCCCACTCCAAACTGTCTAACCC